GTTTATCCTCTCCACTGTCGCTACAAGCATGCTTAGTGTGAGGGATTGCTTTTAAGTCAATGAGTCGATGTAATCAACTGTTTTTTTCTTAGACAGAAAACTTTTAATCAATTTGACTGTATGATCTGGTGAACTGTAAAGTGTCTTGAAATGACATGTGTTGTGAATTGGCGCTATATAAATAAACTGAATTTAGATTTCTTATTTGAAATCAATTTAATCCCATCCAAATGAAGTGACTGATTAATTAGCTTCTTTTTCAAAGACTCTGGTCCAAGTCTGTTTTGTCTGCATTCAGAAGCTGTTGACCCGTTGAAACTCTAATCAAGCCTTGCATCACACTTGAAAACATTATATTTGCACTACCAATGTGGCTGATTTTAATAATCCCTTTAGACAGAACACAACTCAATGTTCTACTGCATTTTGCTATTAATTTTGCTTTACTGAACCTTTATCAATGCCTTTTGCACCATGACTTTAAACTGGTTTCATTTTCTCCTACATCTTTTACATTCTAATCACTGCTGCACTTTATTGATGGTAATGTTCATTTCACTGTTGTAAGCTGCTCATTCAGTGTTGGGGGACGGATTGCCTTTGAGTCAATGAGTCGATGCAGTCAACTGGTTTTCCTTAGACAGAAAACTTTGAATCAATTTGACTGGATGATTTGTTGAACTGTTAATTGCCTTGAGATGACATACCTTGTGAATTGGCGCTATATATAAATAAACTAAATTGAACTGAATTGAAGTTGAATTGTTGAAAAGCTGTATGCATCGAAATTTGTTATACACTGTCTATACAAGATGACAATAAAGTTTGTCTAAGTTCTAAGAAGCAGGAAGTTATGAGTCATCCAGGTTTTTAAGACATGCCTGTAATCTATGTAATGGGTTAGCTTCATCTGGATTTATAGGCAGATATAGCAGATTATCATCAGCATAACAGTGGAAGTTAATCCCATGCTCTCTAATAATGCTACCAACTGGGAGCATATATATAGTAAAGAGAATTGTTCCTAGCACTGATCCCTGTGATACTCCACAGGTAACCCTGGAGCATAGGGAAGATTTATCATTAATGTGAGCAAACTGAAGTCGCATAAATAAGATTTAGAGCAGCCTAGTGCTGTTCCCTTAACTTCCACAGAATGTTCATTAAAGCCAACAGTCATTAAAGGTGTGTGTCTCTCCCCAGGTGTGCCCACCCGGTTGACAGTGCAGGATTCTTCTCCTTCATGACGTTTCATTGGCTGACTCCTCTGGCACTGAAAGCGCGTAGGAAAGGGCAGTTGCTATTGGAGGACATCTGGCCCGTGGCGCCTTTAGAGCGTTGCCATGACAATAGTGCAAGGTGGGTGGCGATCCTGTCCCATTGGTCTGTGATTTTTTTAGAATAAACTCAGCGGATTTGTTGTGGCTGTTCAGGCTCAGAAAACTCTGGGAGGAGGAGCAGAGGTCCAAAGGAACCGAGGCATCCCTGTGCTCTGTCATCTGGACCTTCTGCCGGGCCCGTCTTCTCCTGTCCATCCTCTGCCTCACCGTCACTCAGCTGGCTGGATTCAGTGGCCCAGTAAGTTACCACCAGTGAGACCAGTATGGATCTATTTAGACACAAAGGCAAGCAGAGTTACAAGTTACAGTTTTCGGTGCTAACATCTTCCAGCAGTGACGTAACGGTGCGGTAAGCCTAGAGCCATTCTCCTCGCTTTACAAGCAAAATCAATGGGAACTACTAGACACATCTGCAATCAACAACAATTATTGAAGACTTCCAGAGGACTTCACCATTGAAAATTGCGAGATCTGTAGTTAAACTGACAATGCCCACGTGCATGGCAGTTGGATGTTGGAATACACCTGGGAAAAGTGAAAAAAACATTAGTTATTTGATGACTGATAGCCTCCCTAATCTGGCCTAGTTGGACTCCAGTAGTTTTCCAGGAGTTTTAATAGACCGAATAGAAACAAAGCAATGAAGGTTCTGGGATATATCTGCTCATCTAGTGACCATGGATGATCACTATTTTTCAAGGTGGATTGTGGAAAATTTCCAGTCCACTACTTTTTCATCACTAGACGTTTGGTCACTTATTTAGAATGGAGTAGCCACTATATAGTGCCTTATATAGGCTAGTGATTTTGGCGGACGTTTTGACTAGGGTTGTAACTAACGATTATTTTGCAAATCGATTAATCTGTCGATTATTTTTCCAATTAATCGATTAATAATCAGATAGCCAAAGGTTCCTTAAAGAAGTATGTTTACCAAATTAAACCAGGTGAAACTAAAACTTGTCCACATGAGGAGTTCTGATAGAGAATACTTACAGATGAAACCATTTTTAAAAATCTTAAATCCAAAATGTCTACTTATTTTTTACAATTTTGATATAATTACTGCTCTAAGTTGGTCGCTCTTTTAGCTCAAGGCAAGTTTTACAGTCTACTCCAGCTAACGATTAATCGATTGCTAAATTAGTTGACGATTATTTCAATAATCGATCACGCTTAATCGGATTGTTTCAGCCCTAGTTCAGACACAGACTATATGTGTAATTGTGAGTTCTCATGTGTTCGTGAAACATCATCAGCCTCAGCCCCAGCACTGTTCTAGTTCACAAGAACACAAGACTGATAACGGACAAGGTCCCCGGATGTTGTTCTCGCCCGATCCCCCCGCACCCCATCCCCCGCTTACATGCACCGGCAGCAGCGGCTTCCAGTGGAGCGCTCTATGAGCTCAGAGTATTGAGTCAAAATTTCACTTTTCTGTTGCAGTTCTACAAAAGTTTATTTTAAGATCATTTGAGGCGGGAATGTTATATTTTTAAGCAATAATGTTCAGATATTGAGAGGACCATGGCAACCAACGGAGCTCCGAGACTAACCGCAGCCATGGCTAACGTTAGCCCGCTGCAGCAGCCGTCTATCGGCTCAGATGGTGTTTTTTAATCTTTTATTTGGCAGAACGTTCATTTGATTTGTGTTTATCTGACTGTGTTAACCATTATTCCCCCACTAAAAGAAAAATAAATCATAATTTATTATTGCTAGAATAGAATAGAATAGGAAATGCCTTTATTGTCCAACAATTGGAAAATTCTGGTATCTTTCCAGAGACTATTTATTTATCTATAGACTATTAATAACAGGAATGTGGTGATGTCATGAGTATGCCTCTGTTCAAATTGACACAGTTTATTCTGCGTGCTCCCATTCTCCCTAAGTTCATACTTTCCTGTGTTCTTGTCAAGAACCTACTTGGTGAGATTACAAGTCCATGTTGCTGTTCTTGTGAATTGAGAAACAGACTTGGTCTGCTGATTATAGAAGATGAGAGCGAATTAAGGTGAGAACAGAACAGACACCAGAGGCTGCAGACACAAACTGTGCCTCGCCTATGAACTTTTGAAAGGATTCGAAGGAAATATCTGCCAGAGGAGCGCCTCATGCCAAAGAACAGTCCAGATTCTGATCATGTGAGAGTTTTAGCTCTAAGTGTAAATAACAACATGGGGCAATATTTGCTGGTTGGCGGAGGTCTGCGCTCTTAGAATGCTATTCTAGTTTAACGAGGACTTCACTGAACTAATTTTTAACTCTTTAAGAGAACATTTAATAGCCTAAAGATGCTTTGCTAACATTATTAGCCCTAACTAGGAAAAAACAATAATGTCTCAAGAGGCAGGATTGCCTAAAAAGTGGCCAATCACAGGCAGTTTATTTCTCTGGTCAGTTCCACCCTCAAAATGACAAATGTAGACATGAACCACAGAAACAGGTTCACAGGCAATTAGGAGAGAATCTTCAAGAGGATAAAGAACAAGAGAAAAGTGAAGAGAAGGAGCATGGATACTGGAGGCCCCATGGTTTTTTATTATACGCACATATAAAGCATTATATGAAACACCCACTGTGACCAGTGGAACCAGTGGAACCAGTGTACCGTAGGCGATGTCTCTGAGGTCTTTAGTTCTGGGTGTTTTCTGTCGTCTGCTTTACGTTTTTAATCCCTATTTAGCTTCGGTCCATCCTCATACCTGGTCCTCAGAACCTTCTCAGGTTGTGTTAGGTTTTATCCTTTGGACCTGACCTGGTTCTAGTTTTCTCATCTTCACACCTTCACTTTGTCACCATTAGTTCTGCATTATTTTCTATCCTCTCCTCTGGTTTCTCCAGGCGTTTGTGGTGAAGCGTCTGTTGGATTACACCCAGCAGGAGGCATCAGACCTGACCTATGGGCTTCTGTTGGTTCTTGGGCTCCTGATCACAGAACTGATGCGGTCCTGGTCTCTGGCTCTGACCTGGGCCCTGAACTACAGAACCGGGTGCAGACTGAGAGGAGCCATTCTAAGCATGGCCTTCGAGAAGGTCCTGCGGCTCCGCAGCGTCAGGGACAAGTCTGTTGGGCAGGTTGGTTCCGACACGGCTTGGTACTGCCAGCAGTTACTTTGAGGGGTCTAATGTCAGTCCTTTCTCACGCTCAGCTGATTAACATGTGCTCCAGTGATGGTCAGCGGATGTTTGACGCTGCAGCAGTGGGCAGTCTGCTAGCAGGTGGCCCCCTGCTGGCTGTACTCGGTGTTGCATACAACCTGTACATCCTGGGGCCAACATCGCTGCTGGGATCTGCCGTCTTCATCCTCTTCTACCCCACCATGGTGAGTCCCCGTCTGCCCACACAGCAGGGTAGAAGTAGAAAGCGATCCATCATTTTGTTCATGGTTTTAGCATTAGAATCTGATCCGTTGTGTTGATCATCAGATGTTCAGCTCCAGAATGACGGCCTACTTCAGGAGGAAAGGCGTGGCCGTCACCGACAGGCGAGTGCAGAAGATGAACGAGATCCTCAGCTACATCAAGTTCATTAAGATGTACGCCTGGGTGAAAGCCTTCTCACAGGACGTCCAGAGTATGAGCTCCACTGACAATCTTCTCCTTCCTTGTTGCCGTGGTATCACAGGCCGCGTAGTGAGCTTTTTGTGATTTCTGTCAGGGATCCGGGACGAGGAGCGCCGGCTGCTGGAGCTCACGGGTTATTTCCAGAGCATCACGGTGGGCGTGGCTCCGGTGGTGGTGGTCATCGCCAGCGTGGTAACGTTCTCCACGCACATGATGCTGGGATACGACCTGACAGCTGCTCAGGTTCTAGATTCACGTTACCTCTCAGTGTGTCCAGGATTGCTCCTATCTGAGATGCTGGCATATTTTGTAATGACCTGTTGGCTCCTCCCCCTTTTCCAGGCCTTCACTGTGGTGACGGTGTTCAACGCCATGACCTTTGCCCTGAAAGTGACTCCATTTTCTGTCAAGTCTCTGTCGGAGGGCTCAGTGGCTGTGGAGAGATTCAAGGTAGCATGGCTGCCTGGCACACACCTACAGAAAACACCTGCAGACCTCCCAGAACTGCTTGCAGACCCTGCAGAACCCTTAGAACATCTCCTGAAATAACTGGTGATCTGACTGCTCTGTGTCCGTCCTCAGAGTCTCTTCCTGTTGCTGGAAGTCGATGGCGTCCGAGCGATGCCCAGCGATCCTAAGGTTGCCGTGGAGATGTGTAGCGCCTCTTTAGGATGGGAGGGGGCGGGGCAGAGCGTCCAGGCCAGTCCCTGCGTCCGACCAGCCGGCCGACATCGACAGAGAGAAAGGTAAACCCAGACATTGATGACGAGTCAGAAACGTTCAGTTTGTTTCAGGTACGATTCAAACGTCTACTCCTCCATCACTGAGTCCTTCCTCACCTCCTCCATCACCTTCTGTTACACTGGTGCCACCACCAAGGGCAGACTGCAGCGTGTTATCTGGTCTGCAGAGAAGGTGATTGGTTGCAATCTTCCATCTCTCCAGGATCTGTATGCCTCCAGGACTCTGAGGCATGCAGGGAAGATTCTGGACGATCCCTCAAACCCTAGCCACAAATTATTTCAGTCACTTCCCTCTGGCAGGAGGCTGCGGTCCATCAGGACCAAAACCTCACACCACAGGAACAGTTTCTCCTCATCCGCTACCAGCCTTATCAACAAGGCCCAGAGACCCCTGTGACACTGACACTGCCTCTCCCCTCCACGCTCAGGATCCAGAGGCTACACCAACGTAGAATCTTCAGCTCCTGCGTTACATTAACACACAGTCTACTGTTTATATAGTATATAGCTATATACTATATGTTGTATGTTTTATATTGTTTATAGCTATAAAATCAACACCAAGTCAAATTCCTTATAAGTTCAAACCTACTTGGCAATAAACTTCATTCTGATTCTGATTCCTTGCCCCAGATGCAGAGACACGGCTGCCCTCCAGGAGGAAGAGGAGGAGCAAGAAGGGGTGACTGGTTCCTTGTTGGGAGGAGATGCAGACTCAAGTCCTGAGGAAGAAGATGGTGATGAGGAGGATCCCTGTCCCCCCCTCCTGTCCGTCCCCCGTCCCTCTCAGCGCCCTCAGAGCACCCTGCACTCCATTACGTTGAACGTCCAGCAGGTGGGTCCATCGCTCGGGTCTGATGACCAGAGCATCCAGATGTTCTGTCTCACTTTGTCCTCCTGTACCTGTCTGTATGCAGGGACAGCTGCTCGGTGTCTGCGGCTGCGTTGGCAGCGGGAAAACCTCCCTGATCTCAGCAATCTTAGGACAGGTGATGTTATCTCCCACAGCTCCCAGCCTGCAGCTGTTGATGGTCTGGTGTTCATTACTGGTTGGTGTGTTAACAGATGACGGTGCTGGAGGGTAGCGTGGCCGTCAGGGGAAGGATGGCCTATGTAGCCCAGCAGGCCTGGATCCTGAACGCAACGCTGAGAGACAACATCCTGTTTGGACAGGAGTACCAGGAGGACAGGTGATGAGGAGACACGCTGGATGAGAACCTGATGTGGACCACATGTGGACTTACTGTCTCCATGTTTCCACAGGTACCAGTCTGTCCTCAGTGCCTGCTGTCTCAAACCGGATCTGGCTCTGCTGCCCAATGCTGACCTCACAGAGGTGATGTCATTTCCTGTATTTCTGTAAAATTAAGGTCCTCCTAGAGGAGCACTTATAAACCGATATCATTACATGTTCAGATGATGGAACTGTCCTTAAAGGAACTGTTTGAGATTGAACCACAGACGGTCCCAGATCTGTAATTCTTCTATATGCCTAAAATGGTGAGATCCTTCAAAGTCAAATTTTTGTTTTTCTGCTAAATAAGCTCAAATGTCCAAAACTCCAAATGATACATTATGGAACTGCTGACTGCTTTAAGATTAACTATGGAGTAGACTTCCTCCATTATTATTACAAGCAAAGAACACATTTTGCAGAAGGAAATTTTTATGCTATCCACAAATCTTTGAAACTTTGAAAAACTTCTTTACCAAAAGAGGAGCTTTGTTGTTTTCTCAGATTTATTTTTATAATTTCTTTTAATCATATTTCATTTCTTCAATTTTTTTTCTGTTGATTTTAATTTTTTTTACAGTTTTGTTTTATTTCTATTTTTTAATTAGAGTTTTGCGATTTGCATTCTTTACAGTGTTTCACAGATAACATTGTTTTCACATAGAGTCCAATATAATGTAATGTCCACGCAGGCGAATAGAAATGCATCTTCGCTCCTCATTCCAGATGAAAGCCCGCTCCCAGAAACCAAAAGAATACAATTTGAAAATAATGACATCTGTAAAGCTCAATCTTGAAGAGAAATTAGAAAAAGCAAAAAGTAAATCTGTAAAAGAAATTAGAGAAAAAACAAAATAGAAAAAAAATTGAAATAAAATCATAAAAATTCTAAAGATCTTATTCAAAACTTTTCATTAAAACGTATGTTAAAGTTTGGTTTCTAGATTTTGTTCAAATGTCAATTTACTAAATGTTTTTTGATTTTTTTTTTTTTGATGATGATCCTACTTAAATTTATTCAATTCAATTAAATTCTGTTTATTGATAAATTTCCAATTCACAACACATGGCATCTCAAGGCACTTTACAGTTCAACCAGATCATACAGTCAAATTGATTCAACATTTTCTAAGTTTTCACAGTTTTCACGCCAATGAGTTCAACTCACTGGCTCAAAGGCAATCCCTCACACTAAACATGCTTGTAGTGACAGTGGAGAGGAACAGCTCCCTTTTAACAGGAAGAAACCTCCAGCAGAACCAGACTCCTATCTCCTTTCCTTGGCAGATCCAATGCAGTTCTAGAACCTACGAGAATCAGGCGATATGTCTCACTGAGGAGGCAGGAAGCTTCTAAGGCCTGCTCAAAATGACCTTTGGCATGAAAAACTTTGGATTTTCTGATTTAATCTGAAGTTCATGTACTATGGTCTGAATCAGACAGGATTTGTTTGTTTTTTTCAGTTGCTTTGTTTCTTTTCACACAGAGGAAAGTTCAGACAAATCAGGCCAGAATATTCAGTGTGTTTAATGGTCAGAAATAGCGTTGTGTTCGAGTCTTTGTACAGTAGCCCATCAAAGCCTTGTTTTTTGTTTTGAAATATGCTAATTAAAATAGACAAATGGATCCAGCCCTTTGGAAGGGGGTCATTTGACCCATACCTTTCTATGTCTCTGAAAATAGGTGAAAGGGGTGGCGTTACAGGGAATTGTTGGCCTGGCTGAATCTGCTAGGTCTTCTGTTCCTGTAAATGGGTTGGGGTTGCAATGGTAGTGGGAAAGAATCAACTCAATTGTACTGCAGGCTAACGAAGAGGCCAAGCGACCCCCATTCCAAAGGGGGCGTTCGTCCGTTTCGATTTTCATGTTTTCTAAGCAAAAACAAGGCTTGGTTGGGCTACTGTATAAAGCCTCAAACTCAACGCGATTTCTGACATTTTGAATTGAAATTGGATGGGAAGCAAAATGTCTTCAAACTTGGAAAAAAAGTATAGTGGATTGTTTTAAATTTTTTTTGGAATGAGTATAACCACCTGGGTGACTGAGAATCTTCACCAGCATTTTGCAGAATATACCACATAGTCGGATCGAGGTTGGGTGAGGTTCACTTTGTAGATGAATTGGTCCATAGTTCTCCAACCTGAGTTAGTAAAGTAATCTTTTTCTAGTTCCTTGTTCCTTTAAGGAATGAAGTTACGTTGATTCTTCCTGTGAACTGAGAGCCAGAGCTGAGCAGAAACAGGCCCATTTAGATACGGAAGCAGAACTCCTGGTACCTGCTTTGTATATGACCCACATTGTGAAACAATGCTTCACTTTTCCATCCTTTAACACCAAGAGTTAGCTAACCTCGTCACTCCTCTGTGTCTCTGCCCCTTCAGATCGGAGAGCGTGGAGCCAACCTGAGCGGCGGCCAGCGACAGCGGATCAGTTTGGCCCGCGCCCTTTACAGCGACCGGGATGTCTATATCCTTGACGACCCCCTGAGCGCTCTGGACGCCCATGTGGCCAATCACATCTTCAGAAACGCCATCAAGAAGCAGCTTCATAACAAAACTGTCATCTTCGTCACTCACCAGCTGCAGGTAACCCTCCTCCTGACATGGACAGGTGTGCCCTTCTTAAGATGGTTACCATGGGGATACCTGTGTGTTTTTGCAGTACATGGTGGACTGTGATGACATCATTCTGATGAAGGAGGGGAGTATAGTGGAACAAGGTAACCATGACGACTTGATGAAACTGAACGGGGATTACGCAGCCATGTTCAACCACTTCCAGCTGGGGGAACCGCCCGTCATAGAGGTACCGGTCCATCGAGTCCCTTCAAGTCTCCGTCTCTCTCTGTCTGTCTCTCTGAAAGACTCAGCTTGCGTTCCAGGTTCCCAGCAGGAAGCAGGGTGGATCTCAAAGGAAACCAGCTGACAGCAAACCAGGATCAGTGAAGAAGAACTCGCCGGTCATCAAAGACAACGGTAACTTTTCTTTAACCGTCTGACCAAGACCTGGGGTGTTTTGTTGGGAGACTGATCGCCCGCTGCGGCTCCTCTGACCCTACAGGTGAGGAGCAGCATTACGGGGGCGTGTCCTGGCCTGTGTTCCAGGTCTACATGGCGGCATGTGGTGGCTCCGCCCCCTGCCTGCTGATCCTGGTTCTGTTTGTTCTGAACGTGGGGAGTGCAGCTTTCTGCCACTGGTGGCTCAGCTACTGGATCAACCAGGGCAGCGGGGTGAGTCGTCAGATCGCGTTACTCTCCTCATCAGCTTCATCACCTCTCCTTACTCCTTTCCCCATGCTTTCCAGAACACCACGGTAACCATGGGCAACAGCTCGGCAACGAGCATCAGCATGAAGGACAACCCGAAGATGTGGCAGTATGCCACCATTTATGCCTCCTCAATGGGAGTCATGCTGATCTTCAAACTCATCCGAGGAATCGCCTTCGTCAAGGTCAGACCCAGCTAGTTGCTGGAGAGCTTTGGAGGAGAATGTTTATAAGAGCTTTTCCGGTTCTTTAGTAAAACCGCGCTGCTGTTTTCACGATTAGACTTTAAAACCTTTAACCAAACTGTGGTGCCGAGGAGGCCACAAAGTTTTTTGTCTGTTAAACCGTTCTGGGCCCTAACCATCCAGTTCTGTAGCATTCCTTTAAAACATTGGGAGCTTTTCCACTGTCACATATTTTTGCCCCTTCTATGCTTCCTGACAGCAGACTGGAACGATCCCAGTTCGTCCCAGTGGTGACGGTTTGGTTGTGTCTCTTTAGGGAACTCTGAGAGCTTCCTCCAAGCTGCATGACCAACTCTTTCACAAGATCCTGCGTTGCCCCATGAAGTTCTTCGACACGACTCCTTCGGGACAAATCTTCAATCGCTTCTCCAAGGACATGGATGAAGGTAAGTTGAAAGATCTAGACCATTGTCTGGGATTCCGGTCTTCACCTGACTCTATGGTGTCTCTGTTTCCTTCCAGTGGACACTCGTCTCCCCTTCCAAGCAGAAATGTTTATCCAGAACGTGATCCTGGTTTTCTTCTGCCTGGGTGTCATCAGCTGTGTTTTCCCATGGTTCCTGGTGGCTGTTGGTCCGCTGGTCTTGGTCTTTGCTGGTCTCCACAGCGTTTCCAAAGTCTTTATCCGGGAGCTCAAGCGTTTGGACAATGTGACGATGTCCCCCTTCATGTCCCACATTGTGTCCAGCATCCAGGGCCTGACAACTCTTCAGGCGTACGACAGAGGACAGGATTTCCTCCACAGGTTCGGGTCACAACAAGAATCTTCACCCTAAAACTGTGGAGTGAATTTTGTACCATTATTCTTGTAAAAAAAAAATATTTTGAAATCCATAAATCCATAAAAAAAATCCATAAATGAAACTTTGTGCAATATTATATTTTGTTTTTTTTTTCTTATTTATTTCTCATATATTATTGTTTCAGTTTTTTTTAATTAATTAATTATTTATTTTTTTCATTTGCATTTAAGAATATTTATAAAATAATTTTTACAGATTTTATATTTTCAAATGTTTTTGTACATTTTAGTTTTACTTTATTTTAAAAACAATTTTTATTTTTCCCAAATTTCTGTTTTTCAGATTTTTCAGTTTAGCAAATTGCATTCTTTTCACTTAACATTTCCTAGATCACATTCCTCTGGAATGAGAAGCAAAGACACATTTTTATGGGTCTGCTGGACGTTAGCAACATTTGTATTTGTCAATGGGTGCAAACGTTTGTATTTGGCTTTAAGTGAAGATAATGTTATCTGGAATAGACAGAACTTTAGACAAATAGAATAGAAATTTAAAAAAAGAACAGGAAAATCTGTAAACAGAAAATACTTTAAATTAAGTTTGTAAAAATTAAATAAAAATATGAAAACAATATGTAAATAGCACAATCTGAGGACACAGCAAAGTCACTCTGTAATATTATTTTTTAATCAAACACTTGTCAAAGTTTCATTTCTGGATTTCATGTTGTTCAATTTTCCATGTACAAAACATGTTCTTTGCCTCCAACAATAATACACAAACAAACAAAATTCCCTCCGTAGGAATGGAGAGCTCTAATTCTATGTCAGAGGTCACGGATTAGCGGACCACGGTCCGGATCCAGACCCACCTGCTGGCTAATCCAACCTGATTTAAAACATTTATAATTAGTGCATGTTGTCCGACGGCAGTGTCTAACTTCACTTGCGCCGCCTCTCCTGTTAATACGGTAAAGCCCTCCAAGCATCCGGCACCAGACTACACCTGATACAAATTAGCCAATGAGCTGCTGTCAGTCTGGTTCACTGCTGCTGCTACTTTCAGACACAGCAGGCAAACCTGTGGCAAGCCGGGTGATGGGAAAAAGAAGAAGACGAGAAAAAGAAAGCAGAGAAAGTGTGGACTGCTGGAAGAACTGCAGTGAACTGGTGACAGAAAAGTGCAATGGTCCTCAAAGATGACCCTGCACATTTAGAGGATGTTTGGCTCAACCTGCTGCTGTGAAGCAGGATTCTCCACCATGAACAGAATCAAAAATAAATATGGTATGGATCCAGACTCAAATTGAGCTCCTTGATATGTGCTTTAGAATGGCTTTGTCTCCATTCAAACCAGGTTTAAAGCCTTGCAGGGCAGCATAAAGCCCACTGCGAACATTAAGACAGAAAAAAGAAAGAAGAAAAAGAACAAACGGACAGTTTAAGATGTTTTATAAAATATGTGAATCATAATTGTCTATATACCAAACTGAACAATTGTTGTTCTCTACTTTAAAAACACTTTAGATTTTAAAATGGAAAAAATTTCTTTTTTTTTTAAATATTTTTTTATTAAAAAATGTTATGTATAACATCTATGCATAAACACCTCATTTTATTTTAGTGTTATATTCTGTTTAAAGTGACAGATTATACTTAGAAATGTCGTCGGACCTTTACTGGTCTTTATTTGGACCCCACTGATTTTTAATTATCTCTGGTCGAGGATCTGAATGCTGTGTTCTGTTTTTACATAGGTACCAGTTTTTACTAGACCAGAACCAGGCTCCGTTCTACCTGTTCAGCTGCGCCATGCGCTGGTTGGCGGTCCGTCTGGATATCATCAGCGTGTCTCTGATCAGCATGACGGCCTTGATGATGGTGGTGATGCATGGACAGATATCTCCTGCCTACGCTGGTCTTGCCATCTCCTACGCCGTCCAGGTAACTGAATCCAGGACCTGAAGTTCTGCCTGATAAACCTGTTCAGACCAACAGCGGCTCTGTCCCTGTCAGTTAACAGGACTCTTCCAGTTCACGGTGCGGCTGGCCTCTGAGACCGAAGCTCGCTTCACCTCCGTGGAGAGAATCCATCACTACATCCAGGTACTGGAAGTTACTGTTTCCTCAATAACTGGGGACACTGGTGTTCCTAAAACATAATTTCTGGATCTGTTGATCTCAATTTCATTATAACTGAACCAGTTTCTGACAAGCTGTGTGTCTCAGTCTCTGTCCCAGGAGGCCCCAGCCAGGGTTAAAGGTCGAGCTCCTCCACCTGACTGGCCCCAGCAGGGGGAGCTGGTGTTCAGGGATGTGGAGATGAGGTACCAGGAGAACCTCCCTCTGGTTCTGAACAAGATCTCCTGCTCCATCAGACCAAAGGAAAAGGTCGGCATCATCGGGAGAACGGGTTCAGGTAGGAGCGGTGTTTGGGAGGATGCTCTCTAGTGATGAAACACAGTAACTGCTCATTCAAACTGCCTGAACCGGTTCCGTCATGCAGGGAAGTCGTCTCTGGGCGTGGTCTTGTTCCGGCTCGTGGAGCGCTGTGGCGGCTCCGTCCTGATCGATGGCGTCGACATCAGTGACATTGGACTGGCTGATCTGCGCAGCAAACTGTCCATCATCCCACAGGACCCAGTTCTGTTCAGCGGGACGGTCAGGTAGAACCAACTTAGCGGACCAGTGTTGACACCCCTTTGTTCCATTTGTTCTGTTAGCGGTTCTTTCTGTTATACTTTGGGTATTTTTCTCTCATACATCTACACATTGGCAGATGGCTCCTGAAGCCCCTCCCCCTTCCACCCCAGCTCAATTTTTCAGATCATTGTTATGTTGGAGGATCAGTCTGAGGTTCAAAGCTCTCTGGAGTTTAATGTTTATGTTAGCTGTTATCTCATCAACTGTGTTGATTTCAGTAGAAAAAATATCCCAAAGCATGTTTCTGCCCACACCATGCTTCACTGTAGGAGTAATGTTCTAATGTGCCCGGTTTCTTCCAGACAAGACCAAAGGACTATGTTTCTACCGGTAAAAAACATTTTAAGCTTCTGTTTTAGCTTTAGTTAAATTCAAGCAGGCTACTGTCTTTATCTGCTGCCATAAAGACCCCATTAGTGGAGTTTTTCCACTGATGGTATAAACTCTGGATGGTTTCAGTTTTCTGACTCGGTTCTTTCTCCTCGATTAGCCGGGCTGTTAGATCAGCTGACCTCATCACATTGTCTGCCGTGGGAACGTAAACAGCAGCAGGGGAATTCAGATCTAAATCAAGTTCTTTCAGCTGTATTTTCCACTGCTGGACATCAGTCATGGATTAGAACTTTTTTTTTGTTTCTGCAGGTCCAACCTGGATCCCTTCAACCAGTACAGCGAAGAGAAGATCTGGGATGCTCTGCAGAGGAGTCACATGAAGGAGTCGGTGAGTTCATCCATCCACACACAGGACCCAACTGAAGCTACATCCCCTGTGTGCTCAAAGGTTTACATACCCAGTCAGATAATCGAGGAATATGACCGATTCAAAAAAAGTTTAAAAAACAATCCACTGGACTTTGCTTCTGAGTTTGAAGATGTTTCTCTCCCTATCCAGGAATCTTTTTCAATTTAAAATGTCAGAAGTAGCGTTGGGATTGAGGCTTTATACAGTAGACCAACAAAGCCTTGTTTTTTTTGTTTTGAAAACATGGAAATTGAAATAGCTGAATGGGTCCACCCCTTTGGAATGGGGGTTGTTTGCTTCTTTTGTTAGCCTGCAGCCTTCGGTCCCCTGTAAACAGTTAGTTATACTTCCCGCAGCAGCGTGTCTCAGTTGTCGCATATATCTTTGATTTATGCCCAATTTTAAAGCGTGGTCTGCGCTATGTTTTTCCACGCCACAACACAAGAGGGACAATCAGGAACTAGCATTGGGTTGGGTTGCAACAATGGAGGGACATGAGGGTGAAAAAGAGCGGGAATCCAGGTGGAAAAAGGGCCCCACCGTTCTGGTCCAACTTCAGGAGTCGTTTTCCACAATGTCGGTCATACAAACAAAAAACCGCCAGTAAGGTACCAAACAGGAAAAACGCATAGTGTAGAGCAGATGTAGATTTGACCAATCAGAGGCCTCCTGTCTGCGGCACTGTCTGCGGTCACCTACAATTTTGGAGAGGTGCACCAGAGTGTGTGAGAAAAGGGCGGGGACACATTTGCGTTCACTGCTACACACATGCAGATGACCTGGTTTAGTCAGGTTAAATCTGAAAGAGGTTGGGTTTGCAATGATAGCGGGAAGGGATCAACTCAATTGCTACGTTGTTGGTTTTTGAAAGCTGAAATTTGAGTCCACCCCCTCTGTTTAATGGCTGACTGATTTACAAAAATCTCTCTGTGTGCCATGGTTTGCTGTTAGATGATGACTTTTAACATGAACTAGTTGCGTTTGCTCTTTACACTGACAGCAGGAGTTGCCATGGCAGCCGGAGGATTCACTGGGGATGAGATAATTCCTCAGGTAGCGAAGCTGCTCATGTTTGTTTGTAAAAAAACAAACCTCCAGTTGCTCTGAATTATTTTGTTTTGGGTAAATACGATGAACCTTCTCTTCCCTCTGCTGTGGTCGGAGACAGGTGGACTGGGCCTTGTTGTCCTTTATGATGTTTGATAGCCTGCTGCAGGCATTTTGCCCTCAGTTGTGACCAACGTCCCATTTTCTGCTCACACATCCCTGAACCACAGTCAAAGCTAACTGGTGATCTTTTAAAACTTTTATGATGTGTCTTTTAGGCATGTTAGGATTTAAAGGAACAGTACCCGTGACTGACGCAGGATTCTCTACCGTTACGCTGAAAATTCAGCTACTCTGAAAACCAGGCTGATGCGTTTGTTTCTGATGGACGTAACGGACCTTTGACAGACATCTGTACTTCCTCCCCAGCGCATTTCAGCACAGACGCTGGTTAGATTTACTATGGAATCATGACACCCTGACTTCATCAGCACAATGGAAACAACAGTTTTTAAGCACATTTTCCACAGTCTTTGTTCATATATCTCAGGAAGTGTTTCATCTGCAAAATTTTATAGATACAATGAAATCTGATACATAAAGGCATGCTAAAGAGATCATCAGTCATTTCATTCAGCAGAGCTGGAGCTCAGGTACTGGAACTGGAGTCCGCGATTTAGAAAATAACCTATGAGGCCAGTTAATTCAGAACTTGTTGTCTGGAGGATCTACTTTGCTAGATTCAGGCTGCTGAGAGCAACTGTTATCTAAAATATGCTGTCACCAATGTAGACGAGTTAAGATCAGCAGATTGTGATGATAAATTTATGAGCCATCTGCATAAAAACGGTCACTTTTGATCAGGTAAAGATTTAAGGACCCAGACTGGAACCCTGAGTAATACCTTGGTTAAACAATTTGGACTCTGGATCCTGAATCGAGGCTATGAAAGATCTGTTACTGTTTTTAAACCATCCCTCCTGCCGATCCTCAGGTGTCTCAGCTTCCTCAGAAGTTGGAGTCGGAGGTGGTGGAGAACGGGGAGAACTTCTCTGTGGGAGAAAGACAGCTGCTGTGTGTGGCCAGAGCTCTGCTGAGGCAGTGCAAGGTGAGACCGACAGAAAGACAGACAGACAGGGACCCATCCCTCTGCCCTTTCTTTCCACTGACTGGTTCTGGTCCAGGTGCTGATTCTGGATGAGGCAACAGCAGCGATGGATGCAGAGACGGACGCCCTGATCCAGGAGACCATCAGGAGCTCGTTTCAGGACTGCACCACCCTGACCATCGCTCATCGCCTCCACACAGTCCTGTCATCCGACCGCATCATGGTGCTGAGCCAGGGACAGGTAACAACCAATCAGAAAACAGCTCCAAATAAACCATAGCAACAAGAGATCTGCTCTGATGGTTTGAGGGATGTTCTGTTAAATGATTCAAACAGCCGTGGTGGAAACCAGCTGCTCTTTATTTTATCCCAGTTTAACACTAAGTTTTCTCACCAACATCTCCTTGTCTCTGATTGGCTCAGGTGGTGGAATTTGATGAGCCAGCCCGGCTGCTGGCCAATGAGAACTCTCGACTTTGTTCAATGCTGGCGGCTGCAGAGAGCAAAGTGTCTGTGCGGGGATGAGAAGGGGAGGAAGAAGAGTCGTCTCTCTGCTGTTTGGTCGTTCCTGTGAGCTGATCTTAGAGCTGCTTGTTTTTAATCTTTATTTATTTTTGATCATCTGGACTGGGTTCCAGGCTGCATGTGGAGGTGGGCGGGATCAAAACCTGTGGTTTTCCGTTTCTATAAAGCAATATCTGATGACCTGAAGGTGTTAATTTAATCTTGTTGGTTTTAATGTTGTTTAGATAAAACGTGAATCAGCTGCTCAGTTTCTGACCAAACAGATCAGAGCATGATGTCATCGTCTTTGTTCTCAGCATCGGATGAATCATAATCGGCCCGATGCGGTTTAATGTGGAATGTAGAGAGCTTTCATTAACAGTAAAACTACTGAGGTGTAGGACCTCTTTGCCTTTAAAGAACCTTTGCCTTTCAGGAGGCATATGGTGGATGCTGCCCCCCACAGGAAAAGTGAAGTAACTGCGCAGGAATCTGGCAGTGATTACCAGAATTCAGTGTGCAGTTTCTGCTGCGTACCTGCAGGTGGCAGCATGCACGGAGTCTCCACCTGTACAGAAACTGTAAATGGGCCGCTCTGTGTTGACCTGAACATTTGTGTTGTGTGAAGTGGAGCAACGAGGCAGTTGTGCTGCTGCTCCTAGTTTTTTGCACTTTCTGACCTCATGAACTCATCGCTGAACTGCAAACAGACGCAGCTCATTAAAACAACCTGCAAGCAGTTCTCTTTAAGCTTGAGCCTGCATGGTGATCCATCCCAGCCGGAGGACTGATTCAGCTTGGATCTGCAGGAGGGAGCACCAACGATGGAGGACTGATCCTGGTCATCAACAGAGACCGATGTGATGTTTTCATTCAGAATCTTTTTGTGATAGAACAGCCTTGTAAAAACAAAAGTCTCCGTCGTGGTGTCTGTATTTTTATAAGAGGCTTCCAGCATGATAAATAAAACCAGTAAAACCATTTTAACTCACTGCTCATTCATTATGATTATTTTTTTTTAAAGTCAAGTTGAAGCTGAAGTATTTCTCTTAATATCCATCTGTTCCTGCATTCAGAATCCCAACACGTTCCAGAACCGGTTCTGTCTGTGCAGATGTTCTGGTTTCTTCTCCAAACACTAAAATCCACTCAGTCGTTTGGTGCTCCTCTTTCACCAAACATCTCGAAGACTATTTCACCTCTGATTACATTTCAGCTGCCCTCTGTTTGAAGGTCCATCCCAGATTTTCCAGGAGCAGACAAGGTGGCGCTGGATCTGGATGACACGAAGCAGAACTGGACAAGAGTTTCCTGAAGGGATCTCTGACCCATCTTATAGGTTGAGGGATGGTCTTCCACCCTCTGTCTGCTCCCTAAAATCCCAACTTTACAGGAAAAGGATCTGAAATGAACAGTGTACAAACGTGTTCACACCATTTGCACTTTTCAACAATTTTTAACATTAAAACCAGAAACATTAATATATTTTATTTGAATCTTAAGGGAAACTCTATGTATGTTTATGCAGTCAATCTATACATGGTTTCTTGCACATGTAAAAAAATATTTATATCCTGTATAGCATTTCTGGATAGATGCGAACTACATTTCATTGCTTTGTACTTGACAGTGTAATGACAATAAAGCTGAATTCTACTCTAAAACAGTGTTATAGAGGTAGATGATACATGATTTAAAACTTTTTTATAAACAAAAAAGTATGGTGTTCAAAAGTATTCAGGCCCCTTTTTATCTGAGTATAACCAGTTAGCTTCAGAAGTTCCTTGATGATTACTAAAGACTAGAGTCCATTTGTGAGTGATCTAATCAGTTCAAGTACAGCTGCTCTGTGACGGCCTTGGAGGTTGGTTTAGAGAATATTAGACAGCAAACAGCTCCAGAAATTTTGGAGAAAACACGAGACAGCCCACGGACAAAGTTATGAAGAATTTTAAATCAGGTTTACACTATTAAAATATTTCCCAAGGTGGAGGAGAACTATCACTGCACCTCTCCATGAACACACCATCCCTACTGATAGGTATGGTGATAGCTACATCATTCTGACATGGAAACTGGATGGAGCAAAATACAGCGCACAAATTCACGACCCAGTAAAGTCCAGATGAAAGAAATATTAGTTGTGCTGCCACCATCAAAACCTCTGTTTATAGATGTTGGAGATCGGCCTGTTTTTCAGTGTAGTCCCGTTTCTCTGACTGTGACTGGCTGGATGTGCTCTTTTCATCCTCTTACGTGGGAGCTGGCTCGGAGCTCGTCTGCCTGGCTGTGTGTTTCCTGGACGGGGCGCCTTTTACAGTTGCCTTTTGTGTCTCTGTTTATTTCTGTATCTCTGCTTCTGTCTCCTTGAACTCCAGTGAGCCTCAGCAGATGGCCGCTCACACTGAGCCTGATTTTGCTGGAGGTTTCTTCCTGTTCAAAGGGAGTTTTTCCTCTCCACTGTCGCTACAAGCATGCTTAGTGTGAGG